GGACTGTGAGTGAGCCAACTCACATAGCCTGACAGTATCAGTTTTCAGAAAGGTCAGAATAGGTTGAAACAATGGTCGAAAACCCAAAATGAAAATTAACAGGCAGTCAAGGCCAGTATTTAGATTTTAAAACTCAAACATGTAAAGGAGTAAACCAGTTTATGTGGGAAATGCCTAGGTAATAAAAGCTACTTAAAAAAAAAAAAATCAATGCACAATCTCACGCTACATTAATAGATGCATACATCATAAGAAATGCTGCACTGGATGAAGCACATGCTGGCATCAAGATTGCTGGGAAAAATATCAATAACCTCAGATATGCAAATGACCCTTATGCAGATGATACCACCCTTATGGCAGAAAGCAAAGAAGAACCAAAGAGCCTCTTGATGAAAGCGGAAAAGGAGAGTTAAAAGGTTGGCTTAAAACTCAACATTCAGAAAACTAAGATCATGGCATCTGGTCCCATCACTTCATGGCAAATAGATGGGGAAACAGTGGAAACAGTTCAGTTCAGTTCAGCCGCTCAGTCGTGTCTTGACTCTGCAATCCCATGGACTGCAGCATGAGAGCCTCCCTGTCCATCACCAACGCCGGGAGTTTACTCAAACTCATGTCCCTTGAATAAGTGATGCCATACAACCATCTCATGCTGTGTTGCCCCATTCTCCTCCCACCTTCAATCTCTGCCAGCATCAGGGTCTTTTCAAATGAGCCCCTTCTTCTCATCAGGTGGCCAAAGTATTGGAGTTTCAGCTTCAGCATCAGACCTCCCAATGAATATTCAGGATAGATTTCCTTTAGGATGGACTGATTGGATCTCCTTGCTGTCCAAGGCACTCTCAAGAGTCTTCTCCAACACCACAGTTCAAAAGCATCAATTCTTCAGCACTCAGCTTTCCTTATAGTCCAACTCTCACATCATACATAACTACTGGAAAAACCATAGCTTTGACGAGATGGACCTTTGTTGGCAAAGTAATGTCTCTGCTTTTTAGCATGCTGTCTAGGTTGGTCATAACTTTTCTTCTAAGGAACAAGCATCTTTTAGTTTCATGGCCCCCCAAAAAATAAAGTCTGCAACTGTTTCCACTGTTTCCCCATCTATTTCCCATGAAGTGATGGGACTGAATACCATTATCTTAGTTTTCTGAATGTTGAGCTTTAAACCAACATTTTCACTTTCCTCTTTCACTTTCATCAAGAGGCTCTTTAGTTCCTCTTCACTTTCTGCCATAAGGGTGGTGTCATCTGCATATCTGAGGTTATTGCTGTTTCTCCCGGCATTCTTGATTCCAACTTGTGCTTCATCCAGCCCAGCGTTTCTCATGATGTAGTCTGCATAGAAGTTAAATAAGCAGGGTGACAATATACAGCCTTGACGTATTCCTTTCCCCATTTGGAACCAGTCTTTTGTTCCATGTCCAGTTATAACTGTTGCTTCTTAATCTGCATACACATTTCTCAGGAGGCAGGTCAGGTGGTCTGGTATTCACATCTCTTTAAGAATTTTCCAGTTTGTTGTAATCCACACAGTCAAAGGCTTTGGCATAGTCAATAAAGCAGAAATAGATGTTTTTCTGGAACTCTCTTGCTTTTTCGATGATCCAACGGATATCAGCAATTTGATCTCCGATTCCTCTGCCTTTTCTAAATCCAGCTTGAACATCTGGAAGTTCACAGTTCACGTACTATTGAAGCCTGGCTTGAAAAATTTTGAGCATTACTTTGCTAGCGTGTGAGATGAGTGCAATTGTGCCGTAGTTTGACTGGAAACAGTGACAGACTATTTTCGGGGGCTCCAAAAACACTGCAGATGGTGACTGCAGCCATGAAATTAAAAGACACTTGCTCCTTGGAAGAAAAGTTATGACCAACCTAGACAGCATATTAAAAAGCAGAGACATTACTTTGCCAACAAAGGTCCATCTAGTCAAGGCTATGGTTTTTCCAGTGGTCATGTATGGATGTGAGAGTTGGACTGTGAAGAAAGCTGAGCGCCGAAAAATTGATGCTTTTGAACTGTGGTGTTGGAGAAGACTCTTGAGAGTCCCTTGGACTGCAAGGAGATCCAACCAGTCCATCCTAAAGGAGATCATTCCTGGGTATTCATTGGAAGGACTGATGCTGAAGCTGAAGTTCCAATACTTTGGCCACCTGATGGGAAGAACTGACATCAGGAAAAGACCCTGATGCTGGCAAAGATTGAAGACTGGAGGAGAAGGGGACAACAGAGGATGAGATGGTTGTATGGCATCACCAACTCAATGGACATGAGTTTGCGTAAACTCTGGGAGTTAGTGATGGACAGGGATGTCTGGCGTGCTGCAGTCCATAGGGTTGCAAAGAGTCAAGACACGACTGAGTGACTGAACTGAACTGAATGTCCAAACTGGACTTCCCTAGCGGATCAGTGGTAAAAAAAAAAATCCACTGGCCAATGAAGGAGACACGGGTTTGATCCCTGGGTCAGGAAGATCCCATAGAGAAGGAAATGGTAACCCACTCCAGTATTCCTGCCTGGGAGATCCCATGGACTGAGAAGCCTGGCAGGCTACAGTCCATGGGGTCGCAAAAGAGTCAGACAAGACCTAGGAACTAAATGGCGGCAACAACACATGTCCAAACTGCAGTACTATAGCTCTCTAATTAATCAACTCTAAAAAATTCATTTTCCACGTGAATTACTCCCAGATCTTCATCCTAGGAACAATTACAACAAGAATCTACAAACACCATTTAGTTAAAACTCTTAGTTTTAGATCCAGAGTTATTCAAGTATATCTTAGCATTAGAAACGTTTTCTTTAATAGGCTTCATTTATTTGTATACATATCGAAATATCAATATACCCTTGAAATAAGGCTCAGATATTACTAAATCCAAATCCCTTTAATAAAAGAGGAAATTAAGAAAATTAAGTAACTTGCTCCAAATCATACAGTTGCCTAGCAAGGGCCACAATCCCCAAATTGTTCCTTTTTCTCTACACCATCTGGGTTTTCAGCCCTCTGTGTCTTTTTTTTTAAACTTCTACTATCCACCAGAGTTAGCAAGCATACCCAAAAAACATCTATCAATACACACTTTATAGTGCTAAGGACAAATTAGCTCAGCAAGAACAAATAACCACAGCACATTATCCCATAAAATATTTTGACATGGTGTGATCACTTACAAGTTTGATAGCCAATATTTGTTACAAAAGGGCATGCTAACATACTAATGACTTTTATTCTTAACCATTAAAGTGTGATTATGTATTAAAGCATTATCCCATATTCCACTCAACATTAGAAAAATAAAGTAAAAGTTATTACACGGATGGAAAAGCTTTTAATGGACATGCTATTGTTTACTGTGCTCATAACCCCTCCCCCATCATAAAATATGCCATTATGAAAATTACTAAAAGACTTTAGACCTTCAAACCTAAACAGCAGGCCAAAGGTTTTCTTGATTTAGGGTAGTATAAACATCAGTGCTGAGGCCCACTTGCTCCCTCACTCCCCCAGAAACAATGCCCCTTCAAGAGCTCTTTGGGTACAAAGGTTGTCTGGCAGGCTAACCAAAGGATTCTCGGCGACCTGAAGTCCAATCTCTCTTCAGCCCCACCCCCGACCTCCATGCCTCTTCTCCCACCCTTCATTTAAAGAACACAAGTGGAAAATAAGAACTGATAGAAGGGCAAGTTAGCCAGGCTGTGGCTTATGATCACCAGCATCTGCCAGGCCAGCTCCAGGAGGACCTACGCACCCCTAAATGAGACCTGGAAGCCTCTCTTTGCTCCAGGGCTCCTCTGGGACCCGTCGTGAAGGGAAGAGGGAACTTTGCTGCCAGGATCCCCTCCTCCCCAGTCTCGTCCATTACGGCCCCAGCAAGCTCTTTGTTTGCAACAGCTGTGGGGGGGCAGGCGGCCTTGGAGAGAGGGGAGAGGTCACTCCCTCGCTCCCGCGGCTGCCAATCTCCAAGCCCTCCTGCAAAACAGCCCAACGCACGCACAGGACTATTCCCTCGGAACCGGTTCCCTCTTCACACACCTTAAGCCCGGGCACACCTTTCTGCACAGAGGCACTCCCGGAGACCCAATTACCTCTTTCTCTTACCCACATCCTACACTGGATGATGATTCCCTAGCTAACCTCCCTCTGAATCCACACACACAGGGTTTACGCCAGGACCCCCTTCCTTCCTCCTCAATGTATACGCCGGCACATCCCCGAGCCGCGGGCTTCACCCAGCACGTCGCACACAACAGAGGGTCACTTCCATGGCCCCAGGACTTGCCCGGCTCATATCCACAGACGCGGGGTCACTCCGAGCCCGGAGCGCCCACCTCTCAACCCAAAAGACACACACAGAGTCACGCTCCATGGCCGATCTGCGACCTCTGGGCCAGCCGCTCCCCTTCCCCACACGACCCCTCAGAGACCCCAGTGCCCCCCAAGAAGGAACCTCCCCAGCGCACGGTCACTCCCCTGGCCCCTCATCGTCACACAAGCAACAGAAAAGCCCTGCCTCGGGCCGCCCCTTCCCTCCCCCGAGCCTTCACAACACAAACATGCGCTCCCGCGTGCACACCCACGACCACACCGGGAGCCCCGGCCGGCTGCCTCCCACTTGCCGGCCCGGCCTCCTCCCCTCCGCACACGCCCGGCCGCCCGCGCCCAGCCACTTGGCACACACAGACGCACGCACGGCCACNGCGGCGGGCGGGGGTCGCGGAGCAGGGTCAGGCCCAGCCCCTCGCTCGACTCCTCGCCTTCCCTTTGTGTCCGCGGCCGTCGCCGCCGCGTCACAAAGACCCCGGCCCGCCCGGTGCGGGGCGCGTGACAGAGCCGCCGGCGGGAGGGGTGGCTGCGACCCCGCCCCGCGCACACCCCCAGCGCCCGCGCCCGCAGCTCCGCCCCCGCCCGCGGCCGGCGCCGCCTCCGGGGGAGCTATTGTTCCTGCGGTGGGGCGGGAGCCCTGGCGGGGGTTCGGGGGCGCGGCCGCCCTTCGGTCCTGCCACCCGGGGCCCGCGGGCGCCGAGCGGGCTCCGAAGGCGTTACCCTGACAGACGTTTTTGCCGCCCTTTTGTGAGCGTTTTTGAAGCGTTTCCTTGGCCCAGCAGTTTGGCCGGGAAAAGGGCAGGTGGGCTATTAGATAGCTATTTCCTAGGTGAAGAACAGCCGCGGGAAGTGAAGGTGACTTGTCCAAGGTCACCTACGAGGAAGACGGGCAGGACCCCAGAATTAGAACTCACGTTCTGACTCCAGCTTTGTCGTTCTTAGAGATGGGGGTAAATGGCTGAATTAGCGGGATCCTCACCCTTACCCTATTCCCACAAACACCAACTGAATTTAAAATAGTTTTTAAAATTCTGTATTGCCCTCTCTCACTAAGAATAGCTAATATTTGGATAGAATTTTCATACGTACAAGACCTGACAAATTCCCTCCAGTTCTTTCTGACGGCCCTACAAAGCAGTTTTCGCTCTCATCCCTCTTCTACAGAGGAGGAAGTTGAGAGCCAGAGGAGAAAAGTGATCCGACTCCCAACCCAGGGCTCTTCCTGCCATACTGCGGAATGAGTGAGACCCAGCCACAGCAATAAAATGATGGACGGAACTGTTTGAAATTCCTCTACTTTTTTCATTCTATTATGCTGCCTGTCACCTCAGAAGGAATTTATAAATCTCGTTGAAAAACTGATGAATTTGACAAAATTTTTTAATGTGTGGAAAGCTGCCACGGGCAAAACCACCCTAGGGATAATTTCTTCAATGTAAATAGGAGACAACACAATATAAATTAGAAATAAAAGGTTGATAGAGTAAAAAAAAAAAAATGGGGTGCTAACGTCTTATTCACATTACTTAAATACAGACAATAAATATATAAAAAGATATTTAAACCCAGCAGTAGTAAAAGGCAGATTAAACCGACAAGCTTTCTTTTCCTGTTGATGACTAAAAGAGATAAAAGAAATGACAAAGTGAAAGCTGCTCAGTCGTGTCCAACTCTTTGCTACCCCATGGACTATACAATACAGTCCATGGAATTCTCCAGGCCAGAATACTGGAGTGGATTGCCCTTCCCTTCTCTAGGGGATCTTCCCAACCCAGGGATTGAATTCTGGCCTCCGGAATTGCAGGCGGATTCTTTACCCAGCTGAGCCACAGGGGAAGCCCCAAAGAAATGACAAAACCTTGCTTTATTAATTTATGTTTGAGGTGAGCAATTCAACTATATATCAGAAACCTTTAAAACATTTATCCTTTAACCTAGCAATTCCAAGAATTGAAATTTATCCTGAAGAAATAATTGGACAAGAGCACAAAATGTCTATATGAATATCCATCACAGCCTTTTTGTAATAGTTAATATCATCTAAATGTCCATCTGTGGGAACTAAAGTATGGTACCTGTTTTTGCAATGGAGTATTATGCAGCTTTAGCAATGATGACTAGGTTAGTGTTTACTGAAATGGAAAAAAGAATACCAGTGAGTATGTGTAAGAAAATCTTATTTCTATGAAATAGACATGTGTGTGTACATATCCATAGGAAAAAAGTTCAGAAGAATATACAGTGATATATTAGCAGTGGTTATTTCTAAAAAGTAAGCTTATGAATAAGACCCCTGTCCTTTATACTTTTCTGTGTTTTTTGAGTTTTTTTCAATGAAAATTTTTGTTAAAACTTCAAAAAGCTATTTTCTTTTAAATTATATTGTCACCATGCTTTTGATATAAATTCACATTTGAAACATTTTAATAAAATTGCCTCAAACCTAAACCGGGCTGTGGCATGGCAGTTATTACAGCTGAAATTCAACTAGCTTCTGCATCAGGTGTGATCTCGGGTTCCCGACTGCCAAGCCACAGCTAAAGGCTCCTTCTCAGACCATTCCTTCAACAGCTTCTCCATTAAACATGACCTCCCAAGTGATTTTTTCCTGCCATGTGTTTTGGCTCTCCAAACCCCAGTCTTCTGCTTTTAATTTTCATTTGACTGCTAACCATAGTCCAGGAAGAAATACTACAAGGAGACAACCCTTAAATAAAACCAAAAACCCTATGGCCAGAAATCACAGATCATTTATTTCTGCATCTTTCTCCAAATCAGGTAAGAAAAATTTAACACAGATTTCTCAGAAGTTTTCAAATTGAAAAGGACTGTACTTCAGAAACAGGAGTCCTCTGACTTCAATCATTCAGTCTCAGAGAGGAAAAAAGATCTTAAGAGGTACAAACTTCCATGTATAAAATAAATAAGTTACAAGGATATATTGAACAGCACAGGGAATATAGCCAACATTTCATAATAACTTTAAATGAAATATAATCTATAAAAATTCTGAATCTGTTATATACTTGAAACTAACGTAAATCAACTATACCCCAGTAAATTTTTAAAGTTAAAAAAAAATCTTAGTGGTCATCTAATAGAATCCCTATCACATCCTTTAACTTTGGTGACCCATGCAGACAGCAAAAGAGTGGGGAACTCACTACATAAAAAGCACCCAGAGGAAACTTCCCTGGTGGTTCAGTGGTTAGAAATCCACCTTCCAGCGAAAGGCGGCTGGGGGGGAGTGGGGAGCGGGGAACGTGCAGATTCAATCCCTGGTCTTGGAACTGGGATCCCATATACTGCAGAGCAGCTCAGCCTGCTTACTGCATGCCGCAACTAAGACCCAAAGCAGTCAAATATATATATGTATATTTTTAAATCACCCAGTAAGTTTTAAAAGAATATAGATTTCTGAATGTGACTCCAGGAATTCTGGGGGAAGCTCAAGTATCCCTTATTTACTTTGAAGTTGTCTAAGTAATTCCCATACACTGCCAGTTTGGAAACCGCTGGCCTATCAGTCAGTGATTGCTCCATAACAAACAACTACAAAATGGCAGCAACCTGCCATAGTAAACACTCATTTCTCATAGGTCTGGGGGATGACCGTAAGCTTGGCTGGGTGGCTGGGCTCCAAACTGCAGGTTCAACTGGGCTTGGCTCCTGTGTGCAGGTTGAGTTCTGATCTTCTCCAGGCATATGCACTTTGGGGCCCCAGCTGAAGGGGCAGAACCTGAGGGAACCTGTTTTTATGGAGGTGGCGGAGGTACAAGGGGCATAACCAACTGTGCAAACACTTTTCACATCCCTCTTTGTACATGTCTGCTATGATGCCACTGGCTAAAACAAGTCTCATAGCTGAGCCCAGAGACAAAGAGGTAGAGAAGTCTGTTCTTCTTAGAGAGGTAAGAAGGAGTTACTATGGAATAAACATTTTTTAACAAGGATCTGTCAGAGATTCTATACCTGAACACCATGGATTATGCTCTATCAGAATGTTTTCAGTTCCAAGTCATAGAAAACGGAACCCAAATTAAACAAAAAGAGACTTATTGACTCAGGTTTTTAGGAAAAAAAGGAAACAGAGGTAATGCCCTCTCCTTTTAGTTGATTTTTGTCCTCAATAAAACTTCATTCATGGAAAACATTGCATTCCTTAAAGAAATCTCATTGCATTCTTTCAAGCCTCTGGAAGCGAGAGATAGTCCTGCCTTGCTAGGGGATAAGGGGGTGATATATCTAAAAAATTAATCATTACAACTCAGTATGATAAACACTAGATAGAAATAGAGGGGGGTGGGGAAAGAGGAATAAATGGCAAATCCTACTTCATGCTCCCAACCCAGCCAAAATTCTGACTTTTCTAGCCCCCCTGCTAGAGGGTGTAGCAGCATAATAAAGCCCCGATAAGCGGTAATGAGAACTCTGGGACTGACAAATTGGCCTTGGTAAGAAAGAATCACAGTACTTGAGTTCAGTTCAAAAACGCTGGAATGACTTATGGCACAGCACCAATGCAAGCCTGGGATTGACCTCTGACCCAACTCTAGAAATTAGACACCACTTCCTGGACAGAGGAGTATTTTTAAAAAATGAAAAGAGTAGGGAGTTCCCTAGTGGCCTAGTGGTTAGAATTTCAGGCTATCACTGCCGTGGACCAGGTTCAATCTCTGGTGGGGGGAATGAGAACCCACAAACTGCACAGTACAGTCAAAAACAAAACCAACAACAATGGAAGTCATTCATTCATTCAGCAAATTTATACTGAAGATCTACTCCTGGTCCCTGAAAATGTACAGTGATGAGCACAACTGATAAGGTCCCTCTCCTTATGAAATTTACAATCAAATATTAAACAGTTATACAAATAAAAGTAAAATTGCAACAGTATTGACAGAGGCTATGGAAAGGAAAGTCAGAGGTTTCTCTGAAAGAATTGTACTCATACTTAGATCAGGAGGATAAGTTAACTAGGTGAAGAGGGGAGTGTTCCAGGCAGAAGAAAAATCAGAACAAGGGCCTGTGAATTCATCTGAATGCCAGCCAGCATAGTGGGGACAGAGAACAAGATGAATTGGTTGTAAACTTCAACAAATATTTACTGAGCACCTACTATAAATTACACACTGTTCTAGATGCTGAGAAACGGTAGTGAATGAAACAAAGTCGCTGCTTCTCATGGAACTTATAGTCTAGTGCAGAGACCTATATGATATAATATCATTGGTGGAAGAGAATAATTGTTGGACTGAGCCATAACAATAGTAACTATAATTCTCTGAAGACCTGCTACATCCCAGACACTTCCTATTACTTGTCACTAATTTTCCCATCTACCCTGTTGGTAGGTATTAGTTCCATTTTATAGATGAGGAAACTGAGGCTCGTGAGGTTAAGTAACCCACCTAAACCACAAAGCTAGGACATTGGAGTCACCTGGCCCCTCTGACTCCAAAGCCCCATCACATCACAAGCATGAGCAGGTGGAGAAGCATCATCACCTGATAAAAGTTGGCACAAAGATTGGCACCACTGATACTGCAGGGTGTACAAAGGTATGCAGAAGCCACCCTGGGCCCCCTGCCAGGCATCAGGAGACTTTCGTTAGGGCTTCTTGTCATCATAAGCAGTGATTATTGTGATTACATTGCTCATAATTACAACTCCAGTTGAAGGTACCATTCTTGTTACCCACATGGCCTTAATGGCCCTCAGTTCTGTAGATGGGCAGAAGCCAAGGAGGCCGGGGTTACAGATATTTGAACAAAAAGTGCTGTGGGAACCCACAGGTGTAGCGTCACTCTGCCTTGAGAACAGGCTTCACCACTGTAACTGTGTATATTTGAAAGGCTCCTCACCCAAACAGTCCCTCTGAGTGGGTAAAGAGACTGAGGAACCACCTCTGGGTATGTGCTGAAGGTCTTCTTGTCATTCAGTTGCTCAGGATTGCTCTGAATACAGAATGCAGATTTTCTTCATCTTTCGGCAAATGGAAATTTTCAGCTGCAATTCAAAAATTTCTCCAAAGGTTTAACTCATAAAAGGATTGTACCAAAAAAAATAGCTTCTCAGACAGTCACCCATAAACTGTAGTAATAGTTATAGCATAGTAAGAGTGTAAGCTCTGAAACCAAACCGTCTGGTTTTGCATCTTAACTCTGCCACTTGGAAGCTTAATGACCTTGGGCAAGTTACTTCAATTCTCTGGGCCTCAGTTTCATAATCTGTAACATGGAAATAAATTTTTTAGTTACTTCATAGGGTTGTG